GATCTGGATTATCTTTGGTTTCCTACTTTGGATGGTAAATATCAGAACATCATTTTAAAATGTCAATAAAATAAATGTAATGAACATGTAGAATGGTTTATATAAGGCAATTGTGTGTCATTCCAGAAATGAGGACAGTGCTAATCAAGCCTCCTAGGTGACGTGAAGCTTTCTGACTCACCACCAGCCCCGGTAACTTCCAACGTTTAAGCCTTCCCAGCCCTGGCTAACGTCAAAGGCTCCACGGTTCCCGTCTGTGGATGGTACTCTTGGAAAGGGCACGCTGACTCCACAAAACAGGGAACAAATGACGCTGTCAGAAGTGCACTGGGCTTCATGTGAGCTAAACACAGGCTGTTCTTTAGGAGGAAAATAAAGGTGTTGGATGAGCTGGGTTCCCAAGGCACACGGCCGTGCTCTGCATTTGCTCAGCCACGACTGGGACTTGCTGGAAACGGGGAGGATGGACTGGCCACCCATTTCCTCACTGTGCTGAAGAGCACAGCATTCTGCAGTCAATCTGCAAAGAGCAAAATGAACTCAGTTTAAGAAAATTCCGGGGGTTTTGCTGAACCTGAAGCATAACAGGTGGGTCCCTCTCATCACAACTCAAAACATTTCCGATTATCTCTGAAAAGATGTTTCTACCTCTGACGGTACCCAAGTGTGATCTTCAAATTATGACGGTGACAGTGCAGAGAGGGCAAGACGAGACACCGGGAGAGGCTCTGGTTCACTTCTTCCTGGGCAAAGGAAGGAAGGTCTGCCCACCTTCCTATTCTTGCATGGCCACCCTGGCAGATTCTGCCTGGGACTGTTGCCACGCTCTCTCACAACATCCCCAGCAGCGTCACCTCCAGAAGCCCAGCCACAAGGAGTTTCCCCAAGAAGGAAAGTGGAGGCTGGGCAAAGCCCTGCAGCTCAGATGTGAAGCAGACGCAGCTTGAGGGATTCCAGGGCCCACGGAGACACACACAACGTCACAACTCCCCCGCTACCAAACGGGATCAGAGGCCATTAGGACTCTCACGGCAGGTTTGGCAGCATCAGCATCAGCAGAAAGCTTGTTGGGCTTACAGATTTCTGGCCCTACCTAGATTCCACAAGGGACCTGGGGGCCAACACAACTACAGTTTGTATTCTTTAAAGTAACCCTGGAGATCGCTAAGCTGGTAAGCCCCAAGATCCACAGAACAAGAACAGCCCTGCTCCGTGAGAGGGAAGGTCTGCCGATCATCCCAGGGGGATGGCAAGGGACCAGCACTGCAGAGTACCTGGCCTCTGTGTAGTCAGGAGGGGGAACCAGAGGTTGCACTGAACCGCACACCTCCTGCCTCCACGGCGAACATCGACGTCTCCACAGGGAAAGGGCCCGGGCTGGTACAAACTTGCCAGGAGATTAGTGGGAAGGCTAAGTACACAGAAAACTGAAATCCAGAAAGACTGAGGGTGAGGAGGTCCAGCTGCTTAGAAAGACGTCAGATGAAGCTAACGCATTTGCCTCTGGTTGTCTCACCTCTGCAGTGGTGGCAAGTCACTTGCTTTCACTTGCCGCCTGTAAAAATGGGGATGAAAGATCTGCTCTAGCCACTCTAGGGGAATGCGGAGGATCCACTGTGAGAGCATAGAGTTCAAGACACATAGTGCCAGTCATTCCCTTCTTCCGTTTCTTTACCAACATGTTGGTGTAGAAGCATCCTGAGACTGAGTCTTCTAAACTAGAACTTCCTCTCCTCTCCATACTCTGGACTTTCCTGATTGACAGAATTCCTTCTCCAAAGGGACGTTCAGAGGGGCCTCTTAGCTCCACTCCCCCGCAACAGCTCTTTTCTTGTTATGGATTAGGAACCAATTGCTGAATATAAAAGAACACTGAAAATTTCCCACCGTATTTAGTCTGGAGTAAGGTATAATTCACATAAGTGAAACTGCATTAGTCATCCAGATGTTCCGTAATTATCAAAGCATGGGTTTAAAAACAACAAAGCCCAGATGTGAAGCAGGCATAGCTTAAGGGATTTGGCCCCAACCGAACGTTAGTTTTCTCTTTTATGTTTTGGTGCCATGTTGACAAATCTCAAATAATTGTTAATTTCTGAAAGACTGTTTTTGAGTTGATCACATCCAGTCACCAACATCTCAGCAATCATAGCAGAGGTCAGAGACCCAATAATTCCAAAGCAGAGAGAACACAAAGATACCCACATATCATAGGCTGCACAGTTTAGTAAAATTTGAAGCCACTTGTAACTTTTGAGCAGACACGCTGCCTTTTATTAGGACGTCCCATGGTCCTCTCCTTGTTATTGGTGCTAGTTCAGTGCCCTTCAGAGACACACTTGAACTCTGCGTTTCTTTGTATGTGTGTGTGACAGGGTCACAAGGTTGCCTGCACTGAGTTCAAAATTGCAACCTTCCTGTCTCAGCCTCCCTCTGTATTTGTTTATCAGTCAGATAAAGAGGGTGAACTACTTTAAGGACCTTTCAATCTCAAAATTCTGACTGAAATTTTCAAATCAGCTCTTCAAGCCTAGAATTCCTGACTTAGTACTTCGTATTTTGTTTGTTGAGAACAGTAATAGTAACTCAACCTGTTTTCCTTCCCCTTTAAAGCGCTTATAAACCACAGTCTAACCCATCTGCAGGGTGGATACAGAAGATACCAACTTGCTAGGTAAGTTTCATGTTGAAAACAAAGTACTGGCAATGTATACGTTCAAACTGGATCTTCACTCCCAACAAAAGGTGCCAATAGATTCTGCCTGTCTGACCTACAGGAATGGAGCCTCAAAAATACAGCTGTATATTTATTACATGAGATATGCATCCAAGAAGTCTGTAGTATGAGAGCTGGTTTAAAGGAATATAGGTTTTACCCAGTATAGTAACAGATTGAAGAGACACACAAAAAGGTATATATAATTACGCCCATCCCAGCTAATTACAGCCTCTTCTATTTTCGTGAATATACAATTAATATCTTGTAAATGTAAACTGCTGAATATACAATATCTTGCTCTTGGGTACTGGAGTACTACTAATTTTGGGGGGGTGTCTTGTACTAGAGATTGAACCTAAGGCCTTCATGCTGCACTACATTTCCAGTCTTTTTTTTTTTTAATGGGTGTTTTGTTTATTTGTTTCAGACAGGGTCTCACTATGTAGTACAGACTGGCCTTGAACTCAAGGTGATCCTCCTGCCTCAGCCTCCCAAGTGCTGAGATTATAGGTGTGTGTTACCATGCCTGGCTCCAGTTTAACACTGTTAAGGAAATAATAGTGCAGGCTGGGGATGTAGCTCAGAGGTAGAGTATTTGCTTAGCACTTGCCAGGCCCCCGGTTTCATCCATGGCACTGCCAAAAATAAAAAAAATAAAAGTGCATAAAAATGAAGATGAATAATACAGATCTTTTTTTCTAAAATAATGGTTTATACACGCGTGTATTTGCGTGTGTGTGTGTGTGTGTGTGTGTGAGAAAGAGAGAGATGGGGATCAAACACAATGCCTCATACAAGTCAGGTAAGCACTCAGTGACTGAGCTATACTCCCTGAAATAATCGTTTATAAAGCATTTTTATTTTGGTAAGTTTTTAAATCCTCAAAATAATTTATGAGGCTGAGCACTGTGGCACATGCTGTACAGTTCCAGCTACCCAAGAGGCTGAGGCAGGAGGATTGCAAGTTCCAGCTCAGCCTGAGCAATTTAGGTGAGACTCCTGTCTCAAAAAAAATTTTTAAAAAGGTCTGATTAGAGCACTGTCTTAGCTTTGGGGGACATCTAGATACAAGCCATAACAAGCACTGAGAGGTAGAGTGCTGGCCTCGCATTCCCATCCCCTCAGTCCCATCCCCACTAACACACAAATACACAAAACCAGCTTTTTACTGCTTTTGTTTTTGTTTTTCCCTGACAGTAGTAAGTTACTCTTTCTCTAAATGTATTTATTTTTCCCAATTTTTATCCTGAAAAATACCTCGAATTTATAGAAATTATTCGTCAATCAAGATATTAATTATACCTTTTTAATTACACTTTTTAAACGAGAAGAATCTAAACTTGTATTTTCAAATTCCCACACGCTTCACTCCTGAATCACTCCTCGATTATTTGTATACTGGAAGCACATCCTAAGTACGTAGTTTAATACCATAACAAGGAAGGAAATGTATTCCATTAAAAATACGTATCATTCCCTTTCTCTCCAGCGTGAGGCAATGTCGCAAGGCAAAGGCCAACTATGACAGTCTCCGATCTCTAGTTTAGACCCTGCCTGGGAGAAAAGTACCTAGTTGTTTTTAAGTCATGCCGGAATATCTTCCTAGTGAAAGGAGTAGTTTCAAACAATAATACAATTTTAACTGCAAATCTAGAAAGAAAAAATTAAAAGAGTGTATTTATAACCCAGCCTTCCTGAGTCACTCTGTGCCTGGGACCGGAGAGTAAAGTCAAGATAACCCTCTACCCAGTTTGGAACTGGAAGGTGGACTTTCCCGAAGACCCCCGACCCCTGCCCGCGCGCGACCCTCGAGTCGGCCGAGCGCGACGCGTGCAGAGAGCCGGGGGTCTCGATCGCGAGGCCGGGTGGGCAAGGAGGCCGCGGCGGGGCCTGGCCCGGGCCTGGGGTGCTGACCAGGCCGGCCGTCCCTCCCCGGGC